GGCGAGGTCACCGAGCAGCTGGCGCACCTGGTGCGGGCCCTCTGGACCCTGGAGTACACCCCGCAGCACAGCCGCGACTTCAAGGTGAGCCCCTGGGGCACCGGCCAGCGCGAGGCCGGCCGACTTCAACCTTGGATGCTCGGAAGGAATTGGGACAGATGCCCTGATTGTAAGGGAGGCCTGTCCATCTGTCCATTCATGTAGCCATCCATTCACCGAACGTGTACTGAGAGCCCGTGGCTTAAGCACTAGGTCCTGTCCTAGATACTGGGGCATTGCATATTTATTCAAAGAGGTCTGGGACAGATCCCCTGAGTATAAGGGAGGCCTGTCGGTCCATTCATCCATCTGTCTGCTGTCCCATTCGTTTTTCCATCTATTCATTCATCCAAGATGTAGGAAGGGCCCGCTGCATAAGCATCAGGTCCTGTGCTAAGCCCTGGGGCATTGGATACTCAGGTCTGGGACAGATGCCCTGGTTATAAGGGGAGCCCATTTTTTCATTCATTGAACGTGTATTTACTGAGAGCCCCTAAGTACACACCAGGTCCTGTGCTAGGCGTTGTGGAGGGGAATTGCTATGAGCCAGAAAGACGCTGCTATCATGGATCTTGGGTTCTTGGGAATGGGTATCATTAGGGGAATGTTCAGTGACCTAGGCAGGTTACTCAAACTCTTTGTGCCATGGTGTTTTCATCTGGTGCCTACCTTGTAGCAAACAAGTTGACACATTAGGATGGACACTGTCCCATTTTTGACTTACAGATCGGTATGCTTTCATGGGTTACTGTGTTATGCACTTCCGAATCTCGTGGACCGCGGTGGATTTGTTCCTCTTGCCTTTGTTATTCGATACTTCAGTAAGTTAAGGAGGTAATACCAGGTGGTGGTTGGAAGAAAGAACCTGGCGATGTGATTGATGTGCTGGCAGGTTACTGTAGATTGGGGGATCTAGATGGTCTAGTAGGAGGTGAGTTCATGAGCAGAATGGTAGGATGGGCCCAGTTGGCGTTGGGCCTTTTCCTGTGCGCTGAGGAATTGGACTCTTAACTCTGAGCAGGAGGGAAAGATGATGGTTGTAGAGTCTAAGGGACTCTCTTGAGTGGGACATCGCTAATGATATGAAGTAAACTGAAATCACACAGCAAGAAACTCAGTTTTTTCTCTTTTTATCCTGATCCCACCAAGAGAGTCTCTGTGACTTCAGCCTGTTTTTGACCATCCTCTTGCCCCCCTCGCCCTTTTTTAAAATAAAGAGAAAACAAACGAGATTTAGAAGCTTCGTTAGGCAACAGTAGTTGAATTTAATAAGGTTATGGTTTTATTGGCTTTTTCTTTTTTACATTTGTCTTCTGTTTATGGCAAGTGGTACTGGCTTTCCATCGGAGCTATCAAATTTCTAAAATACATTTAAGTAAATGTTTTGATTACAGTATAAAATGGTGATCTAGCTGAGAAGTCTGTACTTGATTAAGGTCTTGTTTTCTTAAATTTGTGTTTGTTTTGGTCCTGGAATGGAACTCAGGACCTTGTGCTTGTGAGGCACGCGCAGCACCACTGAGCTAAATCCTGGCCCACGGTCTTGTTTTCTTGTTGAGGAGGAGCAGCACTGCCTATGTGCACTTCTGCCCCTTTGATATTTTTTACTTATATTTTAATTATGTTGCTCAATCCTATTTTTCTCAAAAGGAAAACATGGTTACCAGTTGATCTTGAAAATTTGATGAAAATACTTGACTGAGATAAAGACTGTAAAAAAGAAAGATCTCAAAATAAGAAAGTAAGAGAATGGCAATCTGTTTGCTACTGTTGATTGTTTTTTTTTCCCCTCCTTCTCCTCTTTGCATATAGTTATCTGTAAGCCACAGCAGTTGCAAGCTTTTCAAGGCCAGAGCCCAGGGTTAAATTTAGTTTTCTATTCTTACTCAAAATGTAAGAGTCAGTTTTTACAGTGTCTTCGTGTGTGAACTTCTGTTGCTCTTTATGAGGTTGGTTTCCCTTTTTTATCCATTAAGCTATGAGCAGAAATGGGTTAATAGTTCTGGAAGTGCATGGACTGATTGATATACATACTTTGGCAAAGTTGAATAGATTCTTAAAGGCAATTTTCATTACTTTTTATGAGGTTGTGTTCACATTTTTATTTTTATCCTTTAAGCTATGAACAGAAATGGGTCAATACTTCTAAAAGCGCAGAGACATTAAAGGCATAGTTTGCAAAGTTGAACAAGTTTTTAAAGGCCCCCCCCTTTTAAAATAAATAGTGGTTTTCTGAAGTTCCTGTAGATTTCACCTGCATTCATTCGTTCACTCATGCAGTTAGGACAAGAAAGAACAATCCCTAATGAGAGTGCCCTGAGCAATAGAGGTACTGAAGCGCTGCATGGTAGTCTGGAGGCAGGTGGATCTAAGGTAGCCCAGTGATTGCTGGGCCCAAGAAGGACCTTGACCATCTCTGTTTCCACTGTGCATCCTGTTACTGGCATTTTGTTTCATGTTTTTCACCTCATGATTGCGGGATAATGGCACCCTGCTTTTGCCCAGGAATGCAGAAAGTAGGGAAATAAAAGTTCCTCCAGAAGCCCCCTGTGCAGGCTTCTGCTGACATCTCATTGGTAAACCGTTGGCTGCCAGGGAGGCTGAAAGGTGGCTTTGTGGGTTTCCAACCTCAGTAGGGGAGAGGAGTAAAGAAGGGCCCACCTCCAAGGCAGCCCACCAGCATGCCCACCTGCCATGTGTATGTCAGGTGTGGTGTTACAGGGGAAGACATTGAACCTGCTTATGAAGAGTGGAATCTAGTAGGACTTGGCAGGTTCCACAGGACAGGACTTCTCGCACTTTAGTGTGTGCATAATTCAGATAAAGATCTTATTAAAAAGAGTATTTGAATTTGGTAGAGCTGAGGTAGCACCTGAGAGTGTGCTTTTCTAACAAGCCCCTATGTGACATGGCTGCTAATCCAGCGACCATGGATAGCAGGCTCCAGGAATCAAGTAAAAACATCACAAAAAAGTGACTTTTGAGCAGTGTTCTGAAGGTTGAGCAGAAGTTTATGGGCAGGGGAGTGGTGGAGGTGGTGTGAAAACGCAAGTATTTGGGGGAAACAGTGAGACATTAGTGGCTGGGTGCACTGTGGAGAGCCATGGGTACAGAGAACTTGGGAGGAGTGTGTTGTGACGGCACTGTGAAGGGCCCTGTGGGCTGGTTGGGACTTTTTCTTCTGAAAGTTGAGATCCAGAGCTGATTTTTAAGTAGGGCAGTGATATGAGACTTTTTTCTTTTCTTTTTTTCACGCAGTTAGATAAGCCTGATGGTACTGTGGAGGATTGGAGGCTTGGTTACCTTTTTCTGTTTTTTTGTTTTCAAATATTTTGTTACAGTCTAATGTGACGGGTATAATTTTGACTAAAGAAAGTTGAAGGTGAATGTGAGGATTAGCTGTCACCATACCCCAGTGTTTGTGGCAGGCATTGTTTCCTCTTGCGTTCAACCTCAGAACTTTGCTCTGTTCCTACTGCAGGCGGCCACCCCATTGGAATTGGCAATGTGATGAATTGGCAGAAGTAATAAAGCCAATTTGCTCTCTTGAGATATTTGTCTTGAGTTCTACAAAACACTCATTATGTCTTTGTGCTTTTGTCATTTTACAACAAAGTTATTTCTACTTCTCAGTAACTTTTTCAGCTGGAATTCTTTCTTGCTTTCTAATCACATCGAGTTGAGTGTTAGGAGTTTGTCAGATCTTTTGGTTTTGGACAGGCTAGTTGGTTGTTAGAGTCAGGCTTTCATATCCATGAGTGAAACAAGTTGACTGGCTCCACCATGATAGGCTTTAAGAAGCTGTCTAGCTGCAGTCTGAATCCTTTTTTCTTTCTTTTTTCCTTTTGTACAGATATTTATTCCTCCTGCTCTTAGAAAGCTGGTCTCAGCTCAGGCACATTTGCCTCCTAGCACCTCACTCCTCTGTCACCCTCCAGAACATTTCTGTTTTTTGTTGTCACGACTGGGGGGGGAGTGTTCTAGGCATTTGGTTGGTGGATTCTACGGATACAGTACAGCATCCTGTTCCCCCAGTGAGGGGTTATTTGGCCTTAAAGGTCAGTAGTGCTGAGGTTGAGAAACTCTGTTGGGTGAGTGTTTTGAGCAGCAGCAAGTTTCCCTTACTCTCCCAGCCTCTAGCATGGTTCCTCTGTTACTTTGTTCTTTTTCTGTGTTTATGTGTTTACAGTGGCATTTGATAAAACTTGGACTTGACACTTGTTATCAGTCAATTTTTAGTAAAACAGTGAGAGTAAATAAATCATTTTGAAATCTGAATACTCAGTATGCCATCTTAAGGGCAAATCAGCTGTGGCTTTAATTTTTATAGCATAGATGCTCTAGGTTCTTTACAGATGCTTTGGTATTTCTAGTTTTCATCGACCTTTTGCAAGTAAAAAAATGTCATGGTCATCCTTTAAATAAGGAAGATGAATTTTATAGCAGTAATTTTCAAGCCATGTTCCCAAAAAACAGTTAAAAGGGAGGATAAAAAGAACCATGGGGACTCCTTCCAAATTTGCAGTAAAACAAAATAATTCATAAGTAGAATATTCTCTCCTATATATTTTCCTTCATGCTTTAGTGTGTAGTAGTGCTTGAAAGTGAGCCTTTTCAAAGTACAAAAGGAATACATGTGTATAAATGAGTATTGGCAAACAGCCTAGTGATTAAAGGAGTCCACTTGGTTAATTTCATACCCACCTTTTGCATGGACACATGCTTGGGGGCTTTCATTTGCTGTAGACCTATGGTATTAGTTTTCCTGGTTTGTAGGAAGTATATTGATATTTCATAGTGTCTCCTACAAAGTACTGCTGATGAGCAACTGAGTCCTGGTCCTCTGCTGGCTTTGTTAGTCAATCATGGAAAGAACAGGTCTCAGCATAAAACTGAGGCAGAGGAGACATGTTGAAATGTGTAGCATTTTTTTCTTCTGAGACTGTGGTGCTGGAATGTAGTGAAGATAAAGTCATTGCTCCTAACTTCCTGTGTGTGCCGTTCCTCCCCAGGCTCAGGTACTTTTGGAAGTCTTTCTTAAGAAA